CATTGAGTTTAGTTATCATCGTTTCACTATTACTGTAGTTAAATCACGAGTTACCAACTATTCTAACCTGTTTACCCAATGATGGTTTAAAAAATCGCTTCTGGAATGAACTCTGGTGTGTTCAGTATATGGACCATGGGTGGTCGCTTCCAGGGGGCAGGTTGCTGGTATCTCTCAGGGCTCTGTCGAATAGGCCGCTCGGTCCTTAAAGACGGCAGAACAGGTCGTCCCCACAAGTTGGAGAAAGGTCATAGCATTCAGGTGCATCTTTGATCGTTTCTCGGCTGGAAGTTGCTATTTGTAGGTAGCAGGGCAACACCTTCTTTAAAGGGCATTTCCGCCAACCTTTCTTGGAGCTACTGGAGGAAATAGAGTTTAGGAAAAAGTGAACAATTTTTATTAAAATTAGGTAGAATCCTCCAGATTTTATCTAACATGATTGGTGTTGAGAGAAAAACCGCTTGGCGTGGTCAATCGGTCCAAAACTTAGTTTCATACATGCCTTGTGAGTTATGATGGAGAGGACATGGTTTGGAATTGGTAATTTACGGACCGTACATGGATTCGTCCAAAAATGGTATATAACGTTTTCTTTTTCTTGATTCTTCTTTTGCTTTTAGCTGTTTAGCTTTCCATTGTATTGAATGTTGGGAAGTGTTCATCTTAACCCAAGCATTTTTTGGCCACCTATGTCAAACATAAACTCTCTTTTCCCTGCAGGTAGTGTCTCCTAAGGGGCCGTCCCTTCAGTCGCGAAGATTTGCCTTCCCTTACTAATTATCTACGTGTTTTCGATTGTCAAGGTCATCGATGGTGGCCTGTTGAACCCCAGGCCAAGTCTTTGTATTACATAGAAACACGAGAATTGAACTCTAAAAATGAAAATTGTCTCTCTTACATAATACTCTTAGAGTGTTAGGCTTTTGGGCTTTGGGTCCACGTATTGGAAAAAAATATTGATAAAATGATATCCTTCTTCATACCTTTTTCTCTTGCGCCCGACCTCTTCATGCACATACACTGACCACAGGTTGCATGTGGCCTCTGTGGTGTGTGGTCTAAACTCCCAACAGCTTTTCTGTTGGTTGTGTCCCAGTTCATGAATTTCTCCCCACAGGCCTGCAGTCTTGGCAGAATCTGGTCTGAAGAGCTCTGTAGCTGAATCTGTGTGTATCATGATGGGATAGCCTGCATGCATCCAACCTGGATGGAGAGAAATAAGTAACACAGGAATGTATCTTTCAAAATATCTACACAAAGATTTGGAGAGATTGTACCTTTTGTAATTCCCTGTGATGAGCTTAGGTCTTATGCATGTCATAGCAGTTCATTAAGATAGTAATAACTAAAGTACATTATCACTGCCTTTACATTTCTGAATCATGTGGGCCCTGTCCCAAACACAAAACACAATACACAAGATCAAAAATATTATGTAGAAATGCAGACATTACATCAAATGGAAACTGCATAACAATATTTACGCCATTAATCCTGGCTACTATCAAAATTACAATCAATAAAATGCAATTCTATCCTGTTAATTAATGCATGCTGGCTTTTAGGGGTGGGAATTACCAGTCTCCCCACTATACGATACTATCACGATACTTAAGCCACGATACGATGCGATTCTACGATATGCTAAGTATTGCGATACAATATATTGCAATATTGCAAATCCTATGCTTTATATATCCGAATATATATGTCCTTCTTCCCTTCCTGGTTAAAAAATCCCAAATAATTCCACACCTTTGATTAAAACGCGACCGCCGCATTTCTGATTTCTTTCTCCGTTGAATCCATCTTTGTTTTGACTAACTGCCTGCCAATCCCAATGACTTTACCCATGGCCATGACCCACAAGAAAAAGCTCAACACCATCTAGTGGATTGAAAAAGCAATTGTTACCAAAACTTTCATTTGGATTTGCAATATGAATGGTTTATTAAATAACCTAATTTGTGTTCTTTGAACCTGAATAGTAGATGGAATTGTTTTTGTTACTAGTGCTAGTGGATCACCGGAGCTGTTAGCGACAGAGCCTCGCAGCGGGGAAACTGAAACTGTGAAACGCATTTGCGCATAAGATTAATTGCGCCGCTTTCTCGCATAGATCGTCCGACATATGAGGGCCCTTCAGCAAGGTGAGGCCCCACGCAGTCTGCGTGATCTCTGTGTGGGGAGGGGCGGCCCTGGTCAAGTGTAAGACCATCTTTCGGATGGATATGCTACAGTTTATATAATAAAATATCGATACTTGGCTTCCATGTATCGATACAATATCTCCACGCAAAGTATCGCGATACTATGCTGTATCGATTATTTCCCTCACCTCTAGTTTTCTTTGTATTCAATCACAGTTAATGGGTTGAAAACACATGCAGCAAAGTTATCAATTGAATATGTGAGAATGTGACAGCACAAAACACTAACCAGCAGAAATCTGCACATCTGCCACAAAACGTTCTTTGCGGGAACATTTGTGTGGTATGACAGCCAGATCTGCAATGCCCTTCATGATGTCGTTCCACAGCGCTGCCACCTCATCAGGGCGCTCCAACTTTCTAACAACATCCGATGGTACGGTAAGGATGATGTTGTCAAACTCAAACTCTGCCCAGGGTGCTGGAGCTGTGCGCAGTGACAACCAATCAGCTGCTGTTGTCACACCTGAAATGAAAATAGGATTGGTGTTGAGGTGAAATCAAAAAATGGCTTTACAAGATTGTGATTATTTTTCAAATAATCCATTGGGGAAAGATTAGAGGAAGTATGGGGGCCAAAAGCTTTATGTCAAATCAAGCAATCTGATTGGTCGATAGCGTTTTTGCGGACCTCTTTGATTACAGATTTGAAAACATCGTTGCTTGCTTTAAAAGTAGCACAATTCA